ACTTCATTTCAGTGGTATTTTTGTGCGTGACATTTGGATTAATTTCGAGGTATCTATTTTGATTACTGCATATCTTGACAATTTTTCACAGACACGGCTGTTCATCTCGTGCCTGGTGATTCAGGTTGATCGCACTGACGTGGCCTTGGGAGCGACGTCCATTAGGTTGCAGTGCCATTCTCAGCCTTGGATTGTTCCCACACCGCCATTGCAGTCATTTTCATTGACATCCTCTTCATCAGATTCTGTGCCTCCTGATTTTGGTTTTTTTCGATGGGCCTGAAGCGTAAGAGGGATAATTTTAATGATGATTTTGCAGATACCACTCAGTTTTGCATACATGCACGTCACTGTTAGATTTCGAACAATGTCAGCAATACCAAAATACCTTGGGATTTCCGTTTTAATGGATAACTTGGACATTGTGCAAAGATCTCAAAAGAACCTTTTTCGGACTATGGGAGCTATGCCACCGCTTCCTGCTGTGGAAGGGTCAAATGAGGGTTTGCCGGACAAGTTGAGCAGGCCTGGACTGGATGATCCTAACTTCAGTACAAAAGCCTTCCAAAACGCACAGAAACGTTCATGGCAAGATCAACTGAACTATGAACGGAAATGCGCCTACAGAAAGTGGATTAGCATTGTTTCTTCCAACCCTATGGCATTTGAGGTGGCGAGGCAGCAGATATTGTCTGGCCCGATGGAGTTTGCCAAAGGAGGGATGGCTGAATCGATCGGTGACTCGTTGGGAAACAAGTCATCAAGCACTCTTCATTCGAGGGCTGGTCCGTTGCTGAGATTTTTGAAATTTTGTGCTGACAGGGACTTAAGGGCTTTTCCATTGGAAGAGTACAGGGTCTACGACTATGTCAAGTCGGTTGCTGACACGGCTCCGAGTTATCCGAGGTCTTTCATGCTGTCCATTAGTTTTGCAACACATGTTTTGGGCTTGCTTGGAGGCCTCGAAGTTTGCAGTTCAAAGAGGATTGATGGTGCAGTCAAGTTGCACTATGAGAAGCGTGCAAAGGTACGACAACGTCCTCCTTTAATTGCTGACCAGGTCAAAACCTTGGAAAGGGTCGTCACCAGTTCCAACAAGAGCGTTTATGACCGGGTTATGGCTGGCTATTTTCTTATGTTATTGTACGGCAGACTGAGATTTTCTGATGGCCAACGTATCACTGGGATGCGTTTGGAGTTGGCACACGTTGATTCAAAGCCTGTAGGGTTTTTGGAATGCTCTGCTGAACGTACAAAAACCAGCATCAGTTTGGAGCGCAAGGTTAGATATCTGCCAATTGCCATACCTGTCCAGTGCTTGACCGAGCCTGCATGGTTTCCTGTTTGGGACAAGCTACGGGCTGAACAAGGTTGATGGCATCTGGAAAATCGGGTGGAAATTTCCCTGTTATGCCTTTTCCAGCAGTTGGTGGTGGTTGGTCTCAAGCTCAGCTGAACGTGACACCAGCAGGTGAGTGGTTGCGGAATCTTTTGAAGAACACCGAGACTGTTGGTGACATCAGGATTGCAACTCACAGCTGCAAAGCAACCCTTCTGGCATGGAGCGCCCGTGCGGGTTTTGACCATGACGTCAGGAGATTGCTTGGGTATCACAGTGGGTCAGCCGATCAATCTGTGCTGGTGTACTCACGTAATGCCATTTCCCATCCACTCAGGCTTCTTGTGGATCTCATCGGCAAGGTGGTCGGTGGCAGTTTTGACCCTAATCTCACGAGGTCAGGCATGTTTGCCCGTGAGGCAGGTGCTTTGCAAGATGCTGGGGACGACATTGATTCATCAAGCTGCGGCTCGGAAGATGAGGATGACAGAGATGTATATGAGGAAGAACAGGCGATCGAACAGGTTGCTGGTGCTTGGCAACCGAAACATGTTGAGCCCGACACTGTGCAGGTATATGTCCGCCATGCCATTTCACGTTGTCTGCACAAGATCATGGACGAAGCTGGAACCCACCTGGCTTGTGGCAGGGCAATGTCTTCCGGTATGAAATGCAAGGAGAGCGACCGAAGTTCCTCCACCCTTTGTGTGGTACCTTGCTTCAAAGACCATTACATATGAGGAAAAGGCTGCATGACTTGGAGAGCCGTACATGGACGTTTTGTGTGATTTCAAAATTTTGAATAGGCAACAGGTGACAGGTGGAAGTGTGCAAGTTTCATTTGTGCGGTTTTTTTTCCGTCCAACGCCTTCATGGCTTCCGCCAGGTCGTTCAACATGTTTAAGAGCATGTTGCAATTGGGGTGAATTGATTAATTAAATCGCGCAAAGGCCGGTGCTGTAGAGTGGCCGCAAAAGTAAACTGGTGGAGGACCGATACATAGTCCTGTGCATTGTCACGATCATTCAGAAAACCAAACAAAAAACCGAGAAACAACAAACCAAAAAACACCAAAAACAGCCCCAAACACAAACAGAACACAAACACCCAAAACCAAAAACAAACAAACCAAAAGACAACACACACCACAGAGCAGTGACGTGACAGATTCCAGTTTATGGGTGAAAAAGATCAATTAATGCAAGAGTTGATAGCTTAGTATCATCTCGGTGCATGCATAATGACATCTTGTGTGCCATGATGACGCAGGCCCCTTACAATAACAAAAACAAGAAACGCCACAAAAACACCAGGGGCCAATTCAGCGGGTGCGAGAAGCAACACAGCTCAATGCAGAAACCAGGGATCCCCCCAGCCAGGTTCCCCGAGATCACAAAGAGCAGCCTTCACGGCATAACATTCACCCTGACACTTTGAAGCAAACACCGACAACGCCGGGTCGCAACGAAAGTGGTGAGAAGAACTACCGCAGTGAAATGAGAGTAAGACTACGGCACTCAGGGCACACTCAGAGTCCGCTCAGTAGTGCTTTTCCAATCATCATACTCTCAGGGGTTATCCATGCCCATGTTCAAGAGTGCTAATAGGACAGGCGCTGCGCCTGGGGTAGTTCACTTGGAGAACGACCAGAATGAAGGGGCGGTGAGAGATGTCCTCCAAGGATCTCTCATAGTTTCATCATTGCGCTTGGAGTGAATTTCCGTGCACTATTACTCTTCCAATGGTCCTCATGGTATGGGAGATTGTGCTCATTACCAGTACGCGGTGATATCTGTGCATTGAGCTCTTCCGATGACGTGCTAGCTCCTTTGGCTGTATGATCCAGTAACAATATGGCCTTTTGCGCTTGGGTTACTTCGTAGCTGGCCGAGATTGAGTATGGCGGTAACCGGCCGACCGGACCGGGCAACCGGCTGACCGGATCCCGGTTGACCCCTCCCCTCCCCGGTTGCCCGGTTGCCCGGTTGACCGGCTGACCGGGGCGGTTGCCCGGTTGACCGGCGGAATGCCCGGTTGACCGGCTGACCGGCCGATCGGCCGACTAGGGGAAGAAATGCCCGGTTGACCGGCTGACCGGGGCGGTTGCCCGGTTGACCGGCGGAATGCCCGGTTGACCGGCTGACCGGCCGACCGGCCGACCAAGGGACACAAAAAATCGAAGACAAGAACACGAGACAAACAAAAGCAACAGCAACACCAGACACAGAATAGAACCAAAGGCAAGATCAAAGCACTACAAGTAGCAGCTAACCTGCCAAAAACTGAAAACGTAAGTATTGAAAGTGGCAAGGACACAAAAGCAGTTGAAGAGAAGAGGAGAGCAAAAAAGACCACGGAAGAAAAAAGAGCCTGAAGAAAAACACTGGAAAATAGAAAGCAAAACAGCAAAGAAAAAATTGACAGAAGAAAACTTTTTGGGAAAGTCCCGCTAAAAAATGTAGACCGGAACCATTAAAATGCGAAAAGGAACCATGGGAAATGCAAAGTCTAAGTAGGAAATTTGTTCCATGCAAGCACTAAACATAGACCTCAACCAACAAGTGTAAACTTGCATCACCCAAATTGTAACGTCGTAGCGGTAAAGTTAGAACGGTCACGAGTAAAAATGTAAAGGGCAACCATGAAAATGGCAAAATGTAACCATGAGAATCTTTGAAAATATATCGTGCCAAAAACATTCGAACCGTGAAAACATGGACCAGGCGAGAATCGATACTCCACCTGACACATACCTGCGTCATTATCTTCTGTGAACCTGATAAGTAACATCTCTTCTAACTCTTCGCGGTTTCGAAGCGTTGCGGAGGCAAATAAAAAACATATATATATATATGATTAGTGTAGACGATGCACAGGAGGACAAGAAATAGATGAAGTCCATGAAGCTGATCCTCGTTTCACGTGTAAAGACGACCCCCGCTTCGCGTGTACAGACGAACCCGTTTTCGCGTGTACAGACGACCCCCCGACCTTAAGCTGCAAGGCAAGCGGCTCCGTAGCAGCAGCCCGTTGCAGCCGGATGACGACTCGTTGCACGGCACATGGAGAGAGGTGCTGATGGGCAGCGCTGGTTGTGTGAGGCTGCGATTGGCAAAATGCCATGTGTGTGTGTGTGAATGTGTGTGTGTGTTTTAGCTAAGGTAGAAGCATGTGCTTTGGACTGGACTATGTTCAAATAGGGCATGGGAAGTACATGTCTGCATTGTGGTGAACTCAATAGATATCTAAGGGAACTGGAGTCTATGGAAACTGGGCGCTGCAAACCGAAAGCTGCAAACCAAGGCAGTGTAACAAGATTAAATACGATTTGATACGCTACAACCTAAGGCAAGTTCAGAGACCAAATGTCGTTAGTGTGCATATGCCGTGGAGGTTCGGTACAAGACACAAACTGCATGTTAGTTTCGTGGATGATGGAAAACATGTTGAAGAAACAGAGACGACAGTACAGATACACATTGCACGGTGTCATGGCTGAGACGGAGGACTTTGGCAATGGAGATCGAACAGGAGACATAGAGGTTGGCAAGTAGGACACATTTCGCACGAAAGTCGCTGCCGAAAATTTCATTTTGCTGCGGTTCGAACTCTGTCGGTTTTTTTTGTAAAGCGGGTGAAACAGCAGGAGGTCGGCATGGATTTAGAGCTGCTGCGAAGCTGGTCGTCGAAATGGCAGCGTTTCCACTGCATCCTGGAAGTTGCGGCGCGCCATGAATTTTCGCTTCTTGGCCGCTGCCAGTTCTGCCTTTTTGATCCCCATGAGTTCGAGTTGTACATTGCGAGCGTGCAGCAATGACGCAAGGAAGAGAAGGCCACGCACTGGGGTCATGCGCCGCGCCGCCACCGCAATTTTGCGAACAAACGCAAAAGATTGTTCAGCTGCGCTGTCATTAATGTTGGGGAAGCTCGAGGCATGCGTCTGAGGCCACGTTTTGGGAAACGGGCGAGTGCCATCAGGCTTGCAGCCGCTGTGCCCTTTGCGAAAATGGAACTTGTCGATGACAAGGCGAAGCCGGCTGAGGGTACGAGCAACTTTGCTCATGCGGCGTCGTTTCTTGGAAGCCATGAAGCGCTGCAACGTGCACGCGCAATCGTAAAAGACCAGCGGCATGGTTTGCTGAAGTGTTCGCAGGCGAGTCTTCCGCTTGGCAGTCTTCAAATTGACATTGCGGCCGGCAGACAGAAACTCAAACAGCTCAGCCAAGAAAAAGTAGACCCCTGTTGGGGATTCGTGGGTGTACACGAGCTTGATGGCGCTGATGATTTGGCATTCCTTGACAGCGGCTAAAACGCCCCCACTGCGCCGTGCTGCACGAGATTTTTCCCATTGCCGGCGACACGCGTCATTTTTCTCGGACGCAGAGAACTGGACTTGATGTCCGACGCGTGGCTTTGATTGGCACTCTCGTGAAACGGGCTCCAACAAGGATTGACCATATTGCTGTTGGTAGTGCGTGGGAACCAAGGCGCTTGATAGCGAAAAGGCTTGGCCTGTCTTGGTTTGGAAAGCATACCGCCGCGAACGCGGAATACGTTTGACAGAAAGAAGCGAAACTGGATATTGAAGCTTAGCGTGGCTCACAGCAAAACTCAACGCTTTCCGCGTTCGTCGACAAAGCGGGAAAAGCGCGACAATATCTGGCGACTTGTGGCGACCAGCTTCGGTGCGAGAAAGCAGGGTTGCTGTCGTTGCGAGGAAGGAAAGGATCATTTGCAAAATGAGATCGCAACCAAAAATCGGGTCAGCATCTCGGAGGTGCACGGCGCAATATTTTCGACTAGGAATGGGAGCACTCTGGCATCCAGTCCGGCAATGGGCGTTCAGAGGCCTGCAATCCCATACGCCCGCATCCGTGTTGGCGCACAGTTTGCTACGAACTTTGGCATTGCCGTCCACGCCTAGAATGCCTCGTTCGCACTTGGAACACTGGTGTTGCAGGAGCCAGCGACGCTGAAATTGGTGAAGCACCTGGTCTTCGAGTCCACGGCACCAGGGTTCCATGCCATTCTTGCCGACAAAGCAATTGATGGAAGTGCGATTGTTTGTCAAAAACTTGCACACGGAGTATTGCAGCCACGAATCGCGGAGATGCTTCTCCAGCGTTCGAATTTTCATGTGGAGCTTGGGCCGCAGCACATTCACAATGCCTCGGAAAGAATCGCCGCAATGAAGCAGAATATCGGTGACTTGGTCCAAGAAAGCTGTCGCAAAGACGATGTTTTGCGTGATGCAGAAGTAGCGTGGGTTGTCTTGCACTAGCATCCTAGCCCGCGCACCAGTTGCATCTTTGCCCTCAAACCACGGTCCAAAATAAGAGCGACTGCAGGAGCAGCAAGAGTAGCTGAGGAGCAGGACCTGTTCCACGCAATGCAAGCCAAGCGCACAAGGCACTGCGCGAGCGGCGGCACATTTGAGATGTGCGTGGCACGTCAGACAATGTTTCACGTCTGGTTGAATGCATCTCGTGGGAATGTGCTTTGGCAAGTGGCACTCAGCTCCAAGCCAATACGGGGCACGTCGGAGAAGCTTGCCAAGAATAAAGTCGCAGTCCCTTTCAGACAGGTGAAGATGGAAACATTGTTGTTGCAGCAATGCGTGCGCCACAGACGCTCGACATGCAGGATCCGCGTGGTGGAACGCGAGAACGAAAGCAGGCAACAAACTGAGGGACCCTGGGTACATCAACGAAGAGCACGCGTCGCTGTGTGTGGCCCCGGCTAACATCTCGGTTCCTGGAGGCGGAGGAGGAGGATTGTTAGGCGCTACCTGCTTGGCTGCCACGCGCTGGGATTTGACATTCAGAATTTTGGCACTGTGCTCGAAAGGGCGGGCGTCAGTGGCGTATTGCGTGAGCAGCTGCAAGCACTGCTCCATGCGCGGGACATCGAAATCGGGCGGCAACAGGACCTTCAAGTCGGCAGCATACAGAGTGGAGATAGACGCGGTCACCGTTAGGCAGGATTCTGCGTACTCCGCCAAGCTGTTCGCCTGCTTGTGCTGGAAAAGATGCAGCAAATTTGAAAATGCAACTTGGGAAGTTGGGCATTGCGGAGGCTTTCTTTTGCGCAGCCTGTGAGCCGCCTTTTCGGAGGTCCTGGTCAAGGCTGCCAACTGGAAATATTTCAGAAGCAAAAACGCGTTTTGGCAATATGGCTTGGTAGCATCTCTTGGTAATGCCACGCCTGTGTCTTTTGCATGAAGTTTCTTCAGCAAGGTCCCCTGGTCAACCATGATTGTGCTTGCGCTCGTGAGAACCCAGTGCGCAGCAACGAAAGCATAGAGTTTGTTGTCCGGGGAAAGGGCTTCCCACCAAACAGTGAAAGACGGGCTAGCATCCGGCAACGAATTAGCAGGGGCAGCTTCTGCGCGAGCAGTTGGGAGAGTATCGGTTTCGATCAAAGTGATAAGATACGGATACCTCTGCGCAGCAAGCTCGCGCAAGTCGTGCGTGTCCAAGGTGCTGACGAGGTTGGATCCCGGCGCGAGCAGTTGAGACTGCAAGGACAAATAATCGAAAATAGCTTTAGCCGGCTCCACGACTTCGCGAGAAAGCTCTCTGCTCCAAGCCGTGCCTGACTGATCGGCGGCAGAACACGCACGCGCCCAAGAATGCAACAACAGAGCCAAACGCCAGGGAAGTGATTTCAATTTGCCGGCATGGCTGAAAAGCTTTGGGTCCTGCAAGTATGATTGTTCTTGCGTGAGAACTTGGGCGTCGTAGTGCTCTCGAAAATAATCCAAGGCATCGGGGGCAAAGAAATATGGAATGAATTCCCGCGACGCATCAAAATCAGGAGCATTTGCAGTGTGAACGTTTTCGATTCTTGTGAGGACAGAAACAAACTGGGTGAGCAATGAAGCTGGAAGGACCGGCGCACCTCGAGAGCGCGCAGCCCCCGTGGAATACACCGCAGGTTCGAGGACTGCGTCTGCTTTCTCGAGGCGGGGGCTGCTGTGAAACATGAGAAACCGACTTTGCATGCCCAAGGCACCATCTTTGGCCAGAAAGTCATGCCATTCCTCGACATGGAAAGTCATTGCTAAACAAAGGCATGTCTGGTGCATGGAGAAGCGGTTGTTATCCTTCACAACCGTCCTTTTCCAAATGGAGCCATTAAAGAGCTTGGACATAATGGAGGCATTAAATCCGGAACCTTCTCCGTTGGCCAGCGCTCGGAGAAGGAACCGGCCTTCATCATATAATCCAATAGCCCGGTGCCCGTTGTGCGCCATTTGCATGCCAATGGCGGGCAACGAGCCTTCGTCGGAAAACAAGGCGGGCTTGTTGTTGTGGATGGCCGCTAATGCTTTCGACAAGGAGGTCTTGCGTTTTTTTGACGAACGCTCATCTGGCTCCGCACCGTGTGCATCCTCCTCCTCTTCTGCCAGCTGCGCTTCCTTACGAGCTTCGTCCAGCGCCTTTTGGAGCAACTCCTTTTCAAAGCCAGAGACGATGTCTGCCAAGGCTGTCATGATGCCGCTTTTGTTGGCGCCGCTGTCGAGGCATAAGCCCAACCAAAGCAGCGGCGGCACGAGGAAAAATTCGTTGATGAACAGCCTGGCTTTGGAGCACGCAGTGCCAAGAACGGGTAGAAAAAGGAGGAAAGCCCATTCAAAGGGGCAGCCCGCTTTTTGGGCAAGGTTGTCTGTCATTGAATAGACGTCCGGCAAGGCATTTTTCAGCTGCTCATGTGGGAAGGGGGCAAGGTCGGCAAGGATGTATCGAGAGATCAGCTTTGCTCTTTCTGGATCTTTGCGGTACACGTCTGCAAAAGCTCGGTTGAAGTCTTCAGGTGTACCCCGAAGCAAATTGCCCGGCGAGGCTATACAGGCATTGACTGAGTCGTCTTCCATTTGCGCAGGGCCCGACGCACCCGCTGTGCAACTGGCAGCGTCTGGCGAGGAAGTGAGTAACTCGCATGGCGTAAAAACTGTCAGCGCTTCACGGCTGAGCCGCTCGGTGAGCGTGGGTTCTGCCAGGTTCAATGGAACGGTCGCCACGCACGCTGCATGAGCCGTGGGCTGCGCCCGGCCTAGCCAAGCCTCGGCGTGACCAGTGGAACCTGGAACGCGCAAGAGCGCTTGCAAAAAATGCTTGGTCGAATGGATGAAAACGAACAGGAAACAATTTGGGTTCTTAAGCCGGAGCAATGCGGCGCCCCATTCAATTCGCTGGAAGGTGTGGAAGCTGGAGACGTGGAACAAACAACTGTTGCTGTCCAGGATCAAAAGGTCTACAGGCTCTGCAGGAGCCAACACAAGAGCAAGCTGCGAGAGCCCCCGACCACAAAGATGCTGGCCCATTTCCAGGATGCAAGGGCAAATGGACAACGCTACTGTGTCACGCAGCGTCTCCAAGTGACCTACGCATTCCAAGCGCGTAGTTTTGAAGCAATGGAAAAGGTTTTCCGTCGGAGGTAGAAGCGTGGGAGCCAATCCAAAAACGAGAAGGTGCAGATATCCGACTGCGGGACAAGAGCTCAACGCTGGGACAACAATGGGGCGCAATGTCATCACCACGGGAAAGAACCAAGCATTGGTAGAGTTCAAAACAATCGTTGGAAAATCCACAACACTGCCTTCATACGGCTCGCAAAAACCATCCGACAAGAGAAGCAGATCACCGGCCGGAAGGATCCAAAGCAGTAGCGGCGCACACGAAAGGTGGGAGTGGACGTCTTGAATGAAGGAGAAAGGAAGCTCAGAAGAAAAGCGTTTTGGATGGGAGAAGAAGCAATGCCACGCAGACGAAGTTAAAGCCAGCTGCGCGCAAGTCTTTGCCAAGCAAGCAGAACGCAAGCCACACGCGTTCTGCAACGCCTGAAAGAACGAGGAAGCTCTGCAGTTGGAAGAAAGAAAAGCCAAAGACGCGTCTGCCCAGGCATCAGAACTAGAATCAGAAGCATCGTCACGAAGGAGGGCCGCTGACAGTGAAATCGCCGGAACCTCCCCAACAGTAACAGTTGGACTGTGAGGAGTACGCAGGCGCGGAGAACCGGGGTAACTGGCGCCGAGCAATGTCGAAGCGGGCGTTCGATTCGGGGAAAGCAGCCGGCTTGGCGAAGACTCAAAATGGAAATGATCGTCGCAAAATACCACTGGAGCGGAAGCAGCGGCCGAGGTGACAGAAACAGATCCAGTGGAGTCGGAGTCCATTGCGTCGCACCACAAAGGGTTGCCTGCCGCGCTGGTTGCGCCGGCTGAAAATTGGGCCACACTACCGCCATCCAGCTTAACCCACTTCATGCAGCCTAGTTTGTGGGTGTACGGCCGCGGCGCAGGATACTTGCGCACATGTTCCATGACCCACGCATAGGCTTTCTTGTAGTTCACCGACGATTGGTCAGTAATGCAATGCTTGTTTGCGTTGTCGGGTGCCCAAATGTACTGCGAAGGAGGGCCCGTGGAAACCCAAATGCCAGGTGAAGGTTGCTCACCGATGAGAAAGCATTCGGCCAGGGTGACTTCCCCCACCAATTGTTTGGAACCAGCTTGTGCGATCGCAATCCTTCCCCGCTTCGTGGTCGGCTCCCCGCGAACCTCCCACGTTTTTTCGCCTGAAAGAATGAGCTCGGCCCACTTGCGTTTGATGATCAAAGCCCGTTTGGGCATGGCCACGTCTTGGCGGTGAGCCTTGGTGGAACGCGGGTCGGTTGGGCGGCGGCTGCCGGCTTTGGATCCACTCGCCTTGCCACCGCCGGTCAATGTCAAGGGACCAATGTGCAACACATGTGGCCCGACGATACGCAGCAGAGGCTGCAGCTGCAAGGCTTCGCGACGAGCTTGAGTCAAGACTGGCTGAATAATTGTGGTGTCCCGGTCCGGGCGGGGCAAAGGTGCGGCGCCCCTTAAGCCTATGAAGCCTTTCAGCTCATTCGACTCTGTGGCCGGCCAAGGCTGCGGACAAAGCGAGACCAAGTCCCCACGGGAATCAAACAGCGCAACACTTGCAGGAGAGCATACAAAGGTGAAAGTTTGACATCGCGAAAAATCGATGGGGCGCAGCGCGTGCATTTGCATTCGCTCGACTTCTGTGCACCAGCGCGCGCCGTTGCAACGCCCATCTCGGATCTCCAGCTGAAGCCCGCGTTGGGAAAATGGGGCCTGCAGGCTGAAGAGGTGTGGCCAAGCAACTGCTGCAGGGTGAGGTCCCGTGCTCATGCCTATTGTCAAGTAGAGCTGCGACTGCCCGAGCAACACGGGCGACAACTCGATGACGGCCGTGGAAACTGAAGGGGAAATGCGCGAAGCCATCCGAACGACGTGGCGAAAGTCAACAGAGTGGAAAGTTTGCCATGTTCGATGAAGAGGAGGGAAGGAGCGCGGGTTGAAACACCCCAAAAGGAACTTCTTGTGGATCGGAAAACCTTGGGACAGCAGCGCTTCAATGCATTTGTTCAAACACAGCCTCGTGCAACAGCAAGGGGAAACAGACGCGACCAGTGCATTGTGCTGACTCGCATCGATCAGAAAGGCACAAGCGGCTCTGTGCGTTTGTAGGAACGTCACAAGATCGTTAAGAGCACACAAACACGCCAAAACTGTGTGCTGACAAGTCTGCGGCAGTCGATCCCAGAAGCCCCCGCATAGGTCCAGGCACGGCAGCACGCGAGCGAGGCCAACCCCTTGATGCAAGCGCGCCTGTGTCACCCGCACCGGCCGCCGGAAGCCGTTTGACGGAGCGGGCGCCAAATTGGACAGGGGAGCCGATGGAGAATGCAACGCCACGAAACAGTTTAACGGCGTGTTCTTTGGCAAACCGACGCAGCGCCACTGCAGCAGCACAGAACCGTCATTGCCAAACAGGCAGCAGATTTGGTCTTGCTGGCGACATGCAAAAGTTAACTTTTGTGGAGCGATGCCGGCCAACGACAGATCACATGAGTTGGCTTGGAAACTGTCATGTGTGAGGAAAGAGGCCAAGGAGCAGCACTGGCCGGAATTGATGTTGAGCTTCGCAGCAGCCACATTGCGGGCGTCGGGGGGGAAGGTGCTCAAGTGAAGCAAACCCTGCAAAGAAGAAAAGCCGGAAGCAAAAACCCCTAGAAGCAATTCCAAGTCCGGGCACTCCGCCAAACCAGCACAGCGTGCAAAAGATAAATTCAAAGCGAACACCGGCGGTGAAGGAGAAGCAGAACTCGTGAACCAGAAATTGGCGCCATGAGGCTCAGCATGGTAGTGATGCCAGGACCACAATGGATTGCGGGGCCGCGGCGCGAGCGCGAAAGTCAAATGGGCAACAGGGGAGTAAGGACATGAATGGGGCACTGCCTGGACAACCGCTCGAAGACAGAGGTTCGCACAGAGGCGCTGGCATGTGCATGGTGCGAGGCGCAAGTTTCCGGGCCAAGTATGCGGTGATTGGACTAGCTCGCAAAATTCATTGGAGACGCGCATTGTGTAGCAGAAAGTTTGCGGAGAGAGAGCGTAGTGCAGAATTTGGACGAGGATCTCAGGCTCCAGCGCCTCCAATATGTTGCTGCTTTCTGCGCTTTCGCGCAAGATTACACCCCCGGACAACAAAGGATAACAGTCTCGTTGGGAAGACAACGCGCCGCAAGTTGCAAACAATGGAAAACGACATAAGCCCAACGCCCGGCAAATATGGAATAAATCCATTTGGAAAAGAACCTGCCAGCTGTCGGGCCAAGCAGCTTGCATCAATGTAGCAACGACAGCAACCGGCGCACCTGTGTCCACAGCAACGGTGAGAGGGGTCTCCAGGCGGAGGTTGCGGCTCGCGCCTGGCGCTGATGCGGCAAGCAGCAGCCGAACACAGGCAGCATCCCCATAAACTGCAGCGACATGGAGGGCCGAATCTTGTTCCACGTCAGTTGCATCCACCGGGGCATTGGCGTTGATTAAAAGATCAACAGCTGCTGGCATGCTTTGCCTGCAAGCCAAATGCAACGGGGTGCCGCCGAAATCATACCGGCAAGCGACATCAGCGCGCGCCAGGAGGAGAGCGCGGACCATATCTACATTCTTCTTGTTCAGGGCTGCATACAGAGGGTGCAGGGTGCCTTCTGCAGGGTGATTGGGGCACTGCCCATCAAACAACAGCTCCTGAGCGCAAGCAACGTCATTCAAGTCAATGGCTCGGAGGAGCTCGTCAGCTAAGTCTTTGCGCGTTGGGATCCGCAGAAGCTTGACGGACACAAGCGGCGCAAGCTGCGGGCCAGTCGGGGTTGGACAGACCACGTCGGAGGACGCAAACAACCGCAGGTGGAAGGGCGACGCCTGCAAAACATTAGCAATGACTTTGATGAGAACCATGTGGAGCGATCTGTTCCAGAGGTCCGAAACTGGCAGCGTCACAGTGCAGAGGTGAGCGCCGGACAGGAGAGAGCGCAGCGTGAAAGTGACAAGTTGCTGCTCTGGAAGAGCAAGACTCCAGGACCGTTCTGCGGAAGCAAAACGCAAAGGTCTATCCTCAAAGTTGGTCGGCACCATGCAAGCAAAAGAGCCGCCGGCGAAATCCAAACTCGATGGCTGCATGGCACGGGCCGCAGGCAAGGCAGAAGATCGCCCAAGCAACCCCGCTCGCGACTTTTCAAAAGGAGTAGAGTGAAGCAGAACGAAATGGGGGGCACGGATGCTAAGCAGTCCCAGAACGCAAACAGATGCGGAAGAAATGTGAGACGCCAGTTGCACATCGCCATCAGGCTGAAAATGGATGAAGTCAAGGCCGGCGTGAAGTTTGCGAACTGCGATGCCGTCCGGAAACCAATCGCGCAGCTGGCTGAGCAACAAAATGTGGCGGTGCGACAGCCAAGCTGCGCGGGAGCAGGGGTTGGCAGGGTCCATGGCCATCACAAAAGCCATGAGCTCATGAGGCTGGAAGGTGTGCTGCGCGGCCAGCATCAACGGAAGGAGTCGCTGCATGACATCCGTCCAAGAAATTCCTAAGAATTTCGCAAGAGCTCTGTATCCGCACCGTCCATCGCCCTGCACATTGAATGCGCGCCAACCCGAAGGAACGGGAGCGTGAATTCGGACATCCGGCTCAAGCACTTTTGCTTTCGGGGGAAGAAAGGACGAGCGGCGAAAGGATTGGTTGATTGCGCTGTGGTGCAAGCGGCAGAAGCGGTGTCCTGCGAATGCAGGGTGTGGCTGCCCGCACTGTAGATCGCGAAGCTGAAGGAAATCCTGGCGCGCACACTTCGGACAAAAAAATCTAGACAAGAATCCGAACCAGTCGTGTGAATGGCCGTCACTCGCACCTAAAAGCAAACAAACAGCAACAAAAGGGAAATTCACAACGTGCATTGAACAACTGTGTTGAAAGCATGAGGGTATACAGTGTAAAGGATATATGCAACAAAAATGAACGTGCAACGACCCGTACACTGCGCGAAGCGCGAAAGTGTTAGGCAAACGACATATTTCGTATTTGCATGAAACCAGAGACGGACGTAGCAAAAACAGAAATAGTTGAAGCATCAAACCGTGCGATGTCCTTGGAGTCTTCCAACGAGAAGTAGGAAGCAACACTTTGGAAATCATCCGACGCCTGCGCGAGATGGAATGCCACAAAAAACAGAGTGAGAACGTGCTCCCAGCTAACTGTGTTAAAAGAATGACTGTATAAACAGAAAAGGGTATACAGGCAAGGAAACGGGAAATACAATGATCCGAACACTGCGTGAAGCGCGAAAACGAGACAGTGTCAATCAAAACACAGGTTTGACATTTGAATAAAACCAAAAATAGTTGCAGCATCAAAACCGCGCGATCTCCTCTGAGTCTTCCACCGAGAAGTAGGAAGCAACACTTTGGAAATCATCCGAGTCCTGCGCGAGATGCAATGCAAAAAAAAGATTGAGAACGTGCCCCGGCGAACTGTGTCAAAAGAATGACGGTATAAACAGAAAAGGCCATGTGAAACAGCAAAAGACCCCGGACGTGAAGTGTGACATGTGAAAATTGCAGCATGAGAAGGGCACACAAGCTGAAACCTGTTCGGCATGCTTGCGCCTCTGCACAAGAAGCCGCTGCCGTGGGACTTGCTGCAAGTTCGGGGCCAAATTCCTGACGTGTAAAGGGAAGGGCCATGGAAGTGGAAGATGCAGAGGCCGCATTCGACGCAAGAAGGAGTAGCGTTCTAGTATATAGGTGAAGATCTGAAGCAAGGACACGTAAATAGAACTGGATATGGAAGGTGGCATCCTTAGGTTAGCCAGCTTTGAACGAATTGCATTGAAGCCTGACCCCCCCCCGTCCTCGTCATGAAGATCAGCCCACGCGGTGCGGCCGCTCCAGACAAACAAGTTGCTTAAGACCAGAATCTCGTCTTCGACCTGACATGCAGTGCAAAAGTGTGAGGTGTCAGCTTGCATGCACATGCACATCGCCTCAGCGAAGGTACTGAGCTTGAAAAAGCGCGCCATCCTGGCGGGAAAGCCGAGCTGTCCCGAGCGGAGATGAGAAGCCCAAGGTGGCAAGCGAGCAAAGTAAACACCAGCTGAAAGGTCTGAAGTCCGGGCCTTGAACAAGGGAGAAAAGGGAGCGGCGTAGTGACAGACACAAGTTGCGATTTTGAGCGCTTAAGCTGCACGCGAGAATGCAATCAGTATGGAAAGGCTCGGCCAGAAAAGCATGGAAAGAGAGGCTGCCCCACTTTGAAGTTTAAAACGCGCTGAAGCGAGTGAGCAATTCACTTGAGAGTTTGAAGAGCTGCGTGTGATTGAATTATTCGTGCTTGCAAATTAAAAGAAAACTGTTGCAAGCGGCTGTTGTTGCAGAAACTTTTGCATAGCACAGACGTTGTACATGGAGGATGGCAACCCAACGAGCAAGTGATAGGAGTCATACCTGCAAAATGGCGAAGCACAGTAAAACTTGAAATTTGGATAGATTGTTCAGAGCATGTTCGAACATTGGGTGGTCAGTAAATAGATTTGGTAGAAGCGAAATGCAGCAGGGCATGCATGTCAATTTCAAAGACCTATGTGACGAAAATGCGGGTGGAGAAATTGATGTTCAAAGGTTTGGAGGTGCAGATCTTCATGGAGTGGGGTGGTGCAGTAGGGGGGTGGGGTGGAGAAGTGAATGGGGGGAATTAACGTTCAAGTTGCGTGTCAGGTGCATGGCACGGTACGTGGAAGAGGTCTTACAGATGCAGTGGGGGAGGTTTCGGTGTTAATATGGAGCGGCTTTTACATTCAAGTTACGTGGAAGGTGAGTGGCACGTTACGGTCCAGATGTCTTACGCTGATGCAGTGGGTGGGGTGGGATGGAGTGGCATTAACGTTCAAGTGACGTCTAAGGTGCATGGCACGTTACGTTGAAGAATCTTTATATTTTGTTCGGTTACATGCAAGAAGCGATTATACCATAGAATGTAAATGTTACTCAAGAACGTCGCACAGAAGTCACGAATGCAGGACTTGTAAAAAGGGTTCCCAAAGATCTCATGATTTTTGCAAATGGAACCAGAGGCTTTCCAAGCTCATGCTCGTTACATTTCCCCAACAAATCTCTCATATTGGCACAAGTGAAACACAAGAAACTTTTTTTCATGAAGCGATATGTATGCAGACATGAGTTTACATGAAGCCACGGGTTGGCGTCAAGCCGCAGGGTGGCAATGAAGCCACGGGTGGCAGTCAAGCCGCAGGGTGGCAATGAAGCCGCGGGGTGGCAATGAAGCCGCGAAGTGGCAATAAAGCCACGGGGTGGCAATGAAACCGCGGGGTGGCAATGAGGCCGCAAGGTGGGAATCAAGCTGCAAGGTGGCAATGAAGGCGCGGGGTGGCAATCAAGCCCTCAGGTGGCAATGAAGCCACAGGTGGCAATGAAGCCACGGGTGGCAGTCAAGCCGCAGGGTGGCAATGAAGCCGCGGGGTAGCAATCAAGCCGAGGGGTGGCAATGAAGCCGCGGGGTGGCAATGAAACCGTAGGGTGGTGGGGGTGGCAATGAAGCCGCGGGGTGGCAACGAAGCCGCGGGGTGGCAATGAAGCCGCAGGGTGGTGGGGGTGGCAATGAAGCCGCGGGGTGGCAAGGAAGCCGCGGAGTGGCAATGAAGCCGCGGGTGGCAATGAAGCCGCAGGGTGGCAATGAAGCCGCGGGGTAGCAATCAAGCCGCGGGGTGGCAAGGAAGCCGCGGGTGGCAGTCAAGCCGCGGGGTGGCAATGAAGCCGCGGGGTGGCAACGAAGCCGCGGGGTGGCAATGAAGCCGCATGGTGGGGGTGGCAATGAAGCCGCGGGGTGGCAATCAAGCCGAGGGGTGGCAACGAAGCCGCGGGGTGGCAATGAAACCGCAGGGTGGTGGGGGTGGCAATGAAGCCGCGGGGTGGCAACGAAGCCGCGGGGTAGCAATGAAGCCGCAGGGTGGTGGGGGGGTGGCAATGAAGCCGCGGGGTGGCAATGAAGCCGAGGGGTGGCAATGAAGCCGCGGGTGGCAATGAAGCCGCAGGGTGGCAATGAAGCCGCGGGGTAGCAATCAAGCCGCGGGGGGGCAAGGAAGCCGCGGGTGGCAGTCAAGCCGCAGGGTGGCAATGAAGCCGCGGGGTGGCAACGAAGCCGCGGGGTGGCAATGAAGCCGCATGGTGGGGGTGGCAATGAAGCCGCGGGGTGGCAATCAAGCCGAGGGGTGGCAATGAAGCCGCAGGGTGGTGGGGGGGTGGCAATGAAGCCGCGGGGTGGCAATGAAGCCGAGGGGTGGCAATGAAGCCGCGGGTGGCAATGAAGCCGCAGGGTGGCAATGAAACCGCGGGTGGCAGTCAAGCCGCAGGGTGGCAATGAAGCCGCGGGTGGCAGTCAAGCTACAGGGTGGATGAGCCGCAGGGTGGCAGCATTGCTGCAAGTTAAGCGAGCAATAAAGAATAACACACTGAACTGTCATGAACACGCTGATACACTTTGCGTTTTGGTTCATTTAAAAGAAATCGATGTTAAATCTACTTTTGCTATCATTTTACGTACAGAATGACGTACACAAACAGAAAGACTAACGAAAAGAAACAAAGCAGGAGCAATGAAGGCAAAATCGTTTATTCACCCCGCTCCGCGTGGGGTGGCCGCCCACACCGCAGGTTATTTCGGTTCGTACACGCTGTGGTTGTGGTGGTGGTGGTGGTTGTTGTGGTTGTTGTGGTTGTCGTCGTCGTCGTCGTCGTGGTCGTCGGGCCCATGCTGAGCCATCTTGCGCCCAGCGTAAGCTTATGTCATGCCCAGGAATGTACATTCCGATCAAAACGTCGCGACGTGCAACGGGCCGCAAACAAGGCTTCAGCCCCCAGACGTACGACGACCAAGAAAACAAAGAACTCTTCGCTACGCATTCGGGGAGGAAGAAAATATATTACGAAAAAATAAAATCAAGGGTTCGGTTCTATCTGGTTTGAACCATTTATACTGGGATATGACTAACCAACGTTTACCGACCGTCAAAACATCATTTCCCAGTGCTTCCAAAGGATAGGTTTACTAAGTCCGTTATCACAAAGGACAGGTTTGACTAAAAGGCTACAATTTACCCAAATGACAGGAGATTGTGGTAAACATCAAGAACCATATTTTCACGGGCTTTTCACGGCCTTTTCACTGACTTTTCACGGCCTTTTCACATGTATCATAATAAGTTGTAATTTCATCAAAATTGCCCAGTTTCACAAAGGCTAAGTTTAACCTAGGCGTTGTGACTGGGTGAGTTTTTGGTGTCCTTTGAAGTTCTGGGTTTCATAGCAATATGACGATGGTATATTGCGTTCCTTCTGTCATTTAACCTTGCTTTCAGACAACACCATTCAGGAATAGCATACACTGTGTGAGAGGATATACAATATAAAGAAATAAGTCTCAATATACAAAAAAAAGCGGCGCGCAAAACGACTTAGTACTCGGAAAAGGACGTGGCCAAAGTAGGTGGTCCCCTATCGGTTGTGAACTTTGGCACTCCCATGCTAGGTGACAAAATAGGATGCCGGTAAGTGGATGTTCCGGTATCGCTCGTGAAAGGTTTGCACACATATTTGAACATCCCAAGTCTAGCACCTATACTACTTGAGCCCTCCACTAATTTTGACGGTTACTTATATGTATTTGTGGCCAATAGTTGGCTGTCCGGCATTACTCCATTTCCATTCTCCCACTGGTAACATGAACAAACCGCACAAAACGGTTTTGCAACCAGCTCGACGTGGCCAGGAGTCCGTTCGAAGTGCATCTCACTTGAACAGTGGCTGGTCATTCAGCCGAATCAATTATTCAAAAGGGACGCTCCACGGACACAAAGTTTGAATGTCGGGTTGGTGGAAGTCAAAACGTAGGACGTAAATTGTAAACTTATATAATTCACCAATACAAGTTCAGGGGTCAGAATTGCAACACCATAACGGGTTTCACACTTGTTCAGAACAATCTTATCGAATTAGGATGATGAATGGATCTTACGTGCAAAAACAATTCAGATTCACCTGCCAGGAAAACCCTTTGCGACCAGAAATGAGGAATTCTCAGATTGCGACAACAGTGCAAAAGCGAAAAGAAACTGATTGTTTGACAACGGCAAGGTGGTTCTTGGGTTAGCCACGTCCCATTGCAGAAAAGTAGGTTTGACAAAAATGCAGGTATGTCGGGATGATCAGTCCCGATATCCTCCCAACTCATGAGTAGCTTCGTTGGCAGTGGACTCATGAGTGGGCCACTGCCCCCTGCTTATATACTTAATTAAAAAACAAAAACAAAAAACCTAAACCTAAAAAGCCTACCTAAAGAAATGAGACCTGAGCCTGGGATGAACATGAGTATATGAGGTGAAGAACCTAAAATATGTATATATATATATATGATGAAACCTTTACAAAAGTAGAAGTTTTACATCTATTCAGATGTTACACACACACACCCTCCCGCAGGAGGGTGGACAATTTAAAACCTCAAAACCTAGACCTAACAAGCCTAACTAAAGAAATGAGACCTGAGCCTGGAATGAACATGAGTAGATGAGATGAGAGGCCTAGCAAAATATAAATATATGATGAAACAACTCACCCACCCTCCCGAAGGAGGGTGGGAGGATAAGGTCCGGACAATAAGATGAAAATGAAGAGAAAGGGAAATGAAGATGAGATGAAAATGACAATGAGATGAAAGTTACTTAACCAGGACACGAAGAGGGGGAACGCAAACGCAGAGGGAAGGAGAAAACACCAACACATGAAAACCTAGCCCACCACGGGCAAACCCTGAAAGGGGAAGGAAAAAGAAAACGGAGGCAGACGGAAACGGAACCAGACCCGCGGAGGGGGGGGAAGACGGAAGCGCCTGAACCAACCTACACCAGCGAAACCTACACCTACCTGGGCACGCGAAGGGCCAAACCTACCTGGAGAGAGGAGCACGCAGAAACACATGAAATAGGGGATTCAGGTGTAAAAGTTCAAC